CATCCACTCATTACAACGCGCAGGCATGGCAGTGTCAGAGTATGTCAGTGGCAGAATGTGTCGGATGGACAAGGACATTTTGCGAATGGGGTCTGTGCAAGGGGGGTGCGGACAGACAAGGACATTTTGCCAATGCCGTTAAGGCATTGCCAGTAGACGTTTGGGGTCCGTTGACGTAGCAGAAATTGTGAGCATGGTAGGGATGCATCCTCTCTCAGTACAGCGAGATGCACAACAATTCCCAATCCCAAGGGCGTGTGCCCTCTCACATCATCTTCCCCTCTTTATCCGAGACCTGAGAAAAACGTCCCACAGGGGCCATGAGGGGCATCCGTGAAGATTCTTATTTGTTCTTTTTTTTAATTAATTATTAAGATTCTTTTTTTTCCCCCATTGTAAGCAGCCAGTTGTGATTAAAAAAAGAAAAAAAACTATCCACCGGCCTACCCCGCTCAATTGGTAAGGTCTTGGGTTCAATCTCCATTGGCCTCATGTACCTTCTTGGGCAAGCTGGGCGCCTGCCACCTAGAGATCAAAGACTCCTTATAGTGAGATGCCGGCCGGCGATATTATTTTAATATCCGCAAGCAAGTCGCGTTAGCCAGTGTTTCTGAGATCCCGGCCGGCGATAAAAAAGAAACACACAAGCCCCTTCTATTCTGGGGTGCACCAATAAAAGCCAGAAAATGTACGACATGACAGGCTCAAAAACAGCAAGAAGGGGGGGCCCGGGGGGGGGGGGGACGGGGGTTCGCCGAGGAGAGGAGAGGCCGTTACGGGCAATCGGGCGACTTCCATTGATACCACAAGGGCGTCCCTCATACTTTCCCCGAAATTATGTGTCACACACATCCTACCTTACTACTAGCTTGTCATCACAACATTAAACAATACCTCAATGTAATCCTGCAAGCTCTAAGGTTTTTTTTTTTTTTTTTTTTTTTTCTAATATAATAATATGGTTTCCTCTGCCATGTCCTCAGTTATTGATCAGCCATGGTCCGTCTTCTGTGGGTAATTGTTATGCCAGTGTTTGTTCAGGTAATTGTTATGCCACTGTTCGTCTAGGAAATTGTTATGCCAATGTTTGTTTACGTGATTGGTATATATGCCGGTTTATTACAAGTTGGTTAATCATTATGTCTGAGTCTTCATGGGTAGAGGCGTGTTTTTTTTTTTGTTTACGTTATCATTATGCCAGTGTTTGTGTATCGCACTGACCACGGGTTATCCTTATTCAGCCGATTAAACTTCAAAAAAATAGAACACCGAACCCAAAGCGGGGAGAGATTTTGAGTCCAATTCATAATAATCCTTCGAAAAGGTAGAAACAAAAAAAAGGGAGGAGGTATATTCGGCCATCACGACGCGGAAGCTCTTGCCGTCCGCTCTTCCATTACATTTCCGATATCTCGTGAGAGCACAACTTGCAGTCAAATCAAATTGCACATCCTACCATTATATATATATGTGGCCCAAAGGACCACGGATCAGATATCAAACTGATCAGAACATATACTACACTTGATCTTAGCGAAACTGACTGATGCTGTCAGGATAACTCCGGGAAGAATTGTGGGGTCCCCGGCCCCGGAAAAAAAAAAAAAAAGGCCGAGAAAGGTATATCCAATCATATATTTACACACTTCATGGTAACAGTGCAGCGTTACGCTAAAAAAAAACGAGAATCAAAAAAAAAAAAAAAAAAAAAAAAAACGAGAATGAAGGCGAATTTCGACAAACGCTGCATATTACACACACACAAAAAAAAGCCTGCAGCGTTTCAAAATCTTTCTAGAGTGGCGGGGCAACTCGAGGCCAAACCAAACAGACCAGAAAGAGCAGCATTTCTGAATTTCTTGCGTGAAAATTTGCAGACAAGCAATGCACAACCTGCTGTCAAAAATCTGGCGCCATGGTTTCCGTTCCACCCACATGAAAAAGGTCAAACCCAGTCAGGACTTGCACCTAAATGAGTAATAACAGACGTACTTGTCAGGGGCCGTATCTCAGAGCAAACCAACTCCCCAGTAGTGCGCCAATGCACAGGTTGTGGAGAGAACAGCCAACAGACATAACCGCGCCAACATGTTAATCAAATCTGAAGTGAAACATAGCAGGCGCACCGATTTCCACAATGTCATAATCAGGTACAAGTTTGAAAAGAAATCATCACAATTCATAGAAAACAGGTTAGCAGGGGAAAGGATGAGAGACTCCAGACGGGGTCGACACAGGTATCATGGACTACAAGCCGGATCGACGCATAGCGGGCACCGATTTCCACAATGTCATAATCAGGTACAAGTCTGAAATGAAATCATCACAAGAGGGGAAAGGATGAGATACTCCAGACGGGATCGAGAGAGGTATCATAGACTACAAACCGAATCGAGGAAGAGATGAGATTCCAGGCAAGATCAAGGAAAGAATTTGACAGACTCCAAAAAGAATCGAGGCAGAGATGACATTCCAGACGGGATAGAGAAAAGGCTTGGACAGACTCCAGACGGGGAAGACAGCCATGATAAAATGCGCAGTGCAGAGGCCAAGGGGAAGATATACGAGACCATCGAGTAGATCCGGCCAATGCGTCTAACAAATAGAAGACATGGAAGTTGATGGAAGTGTCAGAGTCAACAATGCATGACCTCACATCCCACCTCACATTAAAGAATAGCGTACAAATTCCCACGAAACGATTGTCTTAGGACATACTCACACTATCGGTAGGACTCATACGTAATTGCGGTCGGATGCATCCACGTCTACTAGCCGTTAATGCTGTGATACACATTTAAGATAGTGCTAGTGTGAGTATATGCCCTCAAACCAGCTCCAGTTGCATAATGAGCCCTCGTTACAGCTTCTCTGTACAGCAACTTCCGACAGGGGCTACCCCTTTGCATTCAAAAACAATTTAGGGCCTTCATTTTCATTGTGCACATTGGGTGAGTGGTGGACCGAGGCGCTTCGGACGAAAGGTAACGAGGGAAGACAAAAGATCGGACGAAAGGTAAGGAGGGAAGACAAAAGATCGGACGAAAGGTAATGAGGGAAGACAAAAGAGAGGAAGTAACCACAAAAAGAAGAAGCACACGACGATGATATGTAGAGAGCTAGAGAAACGTTAAGACCTCCCGTCAAGGTGAGTTCTACTTCAACGACAAAAGCACGCCATAATGTCACATTCAGTGATTCACTACAGATCGACTGTAAGGACAGCATCTGGCCGACCAGTTGGCGGCCACGTGGAACTCGCCCCAGAAAGAGGAAACAATCCGAGGAGAAGCGAGAAACTTGCAGAGAGGTAAAAGTTGCGGACAAAGTGACCAAAGGACACGATAAAGGGTAGGATTGAAACCCCAAGTTCGTTAGGGCTGTAGGGCTGCAAGCCTACCCTACCCTCATTTCCAGTGCCAAAACAGAAAGAAAAGGCACTGACACGAGACATGACAGCGGGCGCGCAAGGAGAAAACAATTCTTGTTATGTTAAAAGAAGATTTGAAAACTTCTTCGCTTGGACTATCTTAAATAAAAGAAGAGAAGATGAAAAGGCAACGGACCTAGCTCAGTTGGTACAACCATGACCATGGTGAAATACAGACCCAACTTAATCAAATTCAGATGCATTCAAGAACAGACAAAAGGAGCAAGAAAAAAGATGACACGGAAATTAGTCAAGAGAAACCACCAGAAACATGACAGAGGCAACTTTCTGCCCTTCCTATTGCTTTCTGAGAATCGATAGCTTTCTTGGAATGGCAGCACAGACTCTGAAGCCATCTTCCAGCAGCTCTGCTCGCCAACAATGGATGGAAGCATTTGTTCCTCAAAGGTAAAGAATGTTGGACTAAAAATAAGAGACGTACCATAATTGATTACAGGCACCATGCTCTCTCGTGGGACTTGAAAACAGCACATACTGTATTAAATACAAACTCTGTGCCTCCAATGCTATACTCTTCAGATCAAATAGATTCAGGCGGCGTACATGTAGATTGGCATTCTCAGAACGATAAACCGTGATTTACAAAGTATAAAGAGCACTACAGTGGTCAAAGCCCATGGTGATTCTCTGTAGCACTACTGTACAACGGATCGCATGCCTGCCTACCGCACAATTGCCTTACCTTATGGCAAAGGTTTCCCCACGCTCTGCCCGAAAGGAAGCGATTAATCATGAACGTGAAGAAAAAACAGAAGATTATTCAAGAACGTGAAAAAACAAGAATAATGAGAATAATGAACGGCGTTGCTACCGTGCAACGCCGATACTTGAGAGCTCTGTCGCGCCTCATGCCATCTCTAACACCGTTCACCAACCTCTTGCGGGCACTCCCAAGAAGCGGGTTTGAACAAACCGCAAGCCATCTCCAATACACTCCACCAACCTCTTGCGCGCACTCCCAACAAGCGGTCTTGAAAAAACCGCAATCCCACGTCCACCGAATTTTGAAAAATCCGGAATTAATCAGAAATCACCCCTCACCGACATCACAAAGAAAATAATTCTCTCTCTCTCTCTCTCTCTCTCTCTCTCTCTCTCTCTCTCTCTCTCTCTCTCTCTCTCTCTCTCTCTCTCTCTCT